CAACACTGGATAATGATGATGATGTGGTAGTGGTAGTGGTAGTATTACCCAGGTACAGGGTATACTCAAAGCTATTGTTCGCTCAGCGCTGTTCCATTGTTGATTCCAGTTCGACTTATATGTAAAAGTCAAAAAGGGTTCGATTAAGGTACAGTGCTTGTTAAATAGGGTTTTGGGTTGCATTCAGGGGTGTGCTGTGTTCCCTATGCGATTTGAGCGACTTAAAACGTTTTCAATTCGCTGACATTTGCCGACATTTGTAATTATGAGCAGTGTGCTGCACGCTGTCTGAGCTATTTAAGCGATTTGCTTTATTAAAATCCGTAAGCGGAAAAACAAACAAACAATTGCGAAAATCAACCACTAAAAAATCTGTACAGGTCGCAGCATGCCTGTCCACTGTCTACTGTCTACTGCCTACCACTATCCAGAGCCTCTTCCTCTCTGTGTGCGCCACGTCTATGAGTCGCAAATCTGTTACTCTGTCACATTCGCAGCTTGCCAAAAATTTCATTCATTCATTCATTCCATTACGTTTCGTTTCGTTTCGTTTCGTTTATCCCTTTTATGGCTTGTTTGGGGATTTTCATTATTATAATGACGTCGTCATCATTCTCAGTACACAGGACGAGCCGGGCATTGTTGTGCGCTCGCCTTGCTCTGCTTGGCCATGTTTATTTATAACTAGCAATTGTAATTAGGATTACTTTTTACTTATTTGCACAGTTGTTGGAGTGGCTCGCGAGGCATATAAAAAACATATTTCTGCATTTTTACGTCGTAGACTTTGCGCTGCAGCATTAAAGTATTTGTCCAGACGGCTTACTAGGGAGCCGCTGTATCTAGTTAATAGGATGGCCATCATGATACCCTGATATACAATAAGCACCAGCTGATGCTCTGCATACAACAGCTTGAATGGATGGCAGCTGAGCTGGTGTCCTTCAGTGGAGTGGGATATGGTTTCAATGGAATAACAACGGCTGCGGTATATATGCGTATTAGCTGGAATTATCTAGAGTAAACTATGTAATACCTTTTTTCCTTAACACTGCTTATTCAGTGCATATCTTTAATTTTGTACCAACCCTCAAAATATTCATAGTACTCTAATGTTTTATTTATTATTAATATGCCTTACACTATCCTTTAAATTTATCTTGGCATTATTTCAGACAGCACGTAATTATAATTTCTTTGGCATGACAGTTCTAATAAATACAGATCATTCGAAGCTCTCTTTCTTGAAATGTGATGAATCCATCAACGAGTCACAGATGATTTGGGCATGAAGTCAGCAAAAGCCGATTTGTCACATAGATTTTCACTTCCAGTCCAGCACTTAAAACGCATTTGTCACAGACTGAGACCCTTTTTTTTTGGCGTAATTGTAACCTTTGAGCTTGGCCAGCATTTTCGGCCATATTCCACATAATTATAATTATTTCACGCGTTTTTATTGCGACACAATGTCACATAGATGGAATGCGTGTCGCATCCAGTTGTCAACTCTACAAAATTCAACCCTTTTCGATGGCCCACGCACAAAATGCGATAAATAAAGTCATTCCATCCAACAGCACAAAAAAAAATAAATAAATGGACAAAGGACGAGCATCACAAATTGAAGTGTTGTAAAGTGAACAACGCAAAACCAAAAAGTGCAAGGAAAAACAAGTAAGAATGTTGTAGTCGAGTGAGCTCGACTACGATATACCCTTACCACTCCTGTTCAAAGTATTTTCTAGTATTATTTCCCTTTAAATGTTTTGCACGCTTAAATGTGAGCAGGTCTCCAAGATCTATATTTTCTGATGGCAGGGATAATCACAGAAGAAGACTCTGCAGAATACACATAAAACCTTATTGACGCTCGCCCGATTTGCTATCGGAAATCGTTAAAATGAAGCAAACTTGATCTGCGCGTGGAACTCAAGAACTTAAATTCCAAATATTTCTTATAATCTGTGAGATCCGCCTGTACATAAGGATGCACGGGCGGACGGACAGGCAAACATAGCTATATCGACTCGGCTGCTGTTCCCGATGAAGTATATACATGTATATACTTTATGGAGTCGGAGATGCTTCCTTCTCCGTGTTAAACACATTTGCACAAAATCATTATACTCTTTTTAACCCATTTTCAATGGGTTCAGGGTATAACAAATAGAATAAAATCGTTTAACACTCCAATGAAAAGCCCATTGACAATGGAACGAATTGTGACAGCGCATTTGCCCAAAAAATAAAATAAATAAAAAAAGCACGGCAAAAATAAAAGAAAGAAAAAATCATTTGGCCATTTTGCGGGCTATTTGGTTTGATGCCCGTAATTCATTTTCTTTGCAACTAATTTTCAACGTACGCTTGACAGACAGGTGAAGCCTCAACAGGCACCAATCAGGGAATTGATGAATTGATGGACAGCCATTCAGCGTCATTTATGCAGTGCAACAATCGAAAGTGTCAATTAAAAGACAGCAGCAAACAGCAAACGCCAAGTGGCTGGCAGCACAGCAGTCGATGTTATTATTTTATTATGTTTGATTTAAACGTTCCGAAAGCGACATGTGCGGACTTTCCCTCTCAACCCGCCGGCCTGCCAGCCAGAAGCCCCTCACTTCCGTCTGTCACCCTCGAGGGCTGCGATTTGTGGTCACTGCTGTCGATGTTCCACGCTGAATCAATTGAAGTATGCGAAATGTGCGTGAATTAAAACAGATGTCAGTAGCCGATGGCGGTCATTGATCCCGGGCACTGTAAAGTGCTCTGATTAATGCCAGTCTTCCAGGCAAAAGTAAACAGCTCCAGCTTCGCGTCCCTGCAGCAGGTCTCCAGAGAAACAACTGGATTAGCCTGCCTTATGTTACGGCAGATCAAACCCGCAAGCTATTTACAAGGCATCCGTTGTGCGAGTGACATTTTGTTTATCTTACTAAAAATACAACGCCTTAAAATCAAGAAAGCATTTCAATGAGCAGTCGATTCCTTAGAGAAGTTGGGATAACTTTCCTGTTACCCATTAAAAATGGTCTAGAAGAGGTATTCCTGTTAGATCCTCGAAAATAGTCGATAGAAAGCTGTTTAATAAGTGCCTATAAATGATTCAAAGGTTTGCCACAACTCGATGCAAATAATAACCACAAACATGTGTATTTATATTTGGGTTTTTCTCTAAATTATTTTCGACGCTCCTGTTTTAGTTGTGTTTTTATTTTTAATAATTAATTACCCATTTTTAATTGTTTTTTTTTTGTTGTGTATTTGCTTTGTATGCCATGAATAACTAAAGAATTTAAATTATTAATTCGGTTAGCATTATGCTTATTTGGTTATACTTTCCTTTATACTTGCCAATGAATCTCAGTTGTTTGCATTGTTTGCAATTGCATTCAATTTTAATGCTGCTGTTGTAAAATGAAATGAGAGAAATGAACAAATGCGTTTGGGTTGTTGTTTAAATAATTTAATACTATATTTTTGCCTTGAAATTTACACATACTTGTAATAAATGCATTTAAATTAATTTAGAAATTAAACTAGTCTAGAAATGAAATGCGAAGCAACAGCAAATTAGTAATTCGTCTGTGTAACTTTGCAATAATTTACAAAAAAACATTACAAGTAGTATATAATTTGTTTTTTACAGTGTACACTTACGCCTGGTTTATTAATTTTTACAAAATGTAATTTAAACTTAATTGCTAATTATTCAATTTCCGTTTATTATTATTATAATTTATACAAGTCTTGTAGGTAGGTTCGTGATTTTCATTTCATTTCGTTTCGTTTCGATAGTGTCTCCAATGTTGCAGAGTTGCATTTGAATGCGGAAAGTGTTTCAGTAAGTGTGAGTTGAGTGTGTGATAGTGTGAGTGTTGTTGTCGTGGCCAGTATTGGAAAACGTTTTGTGCAATTGGAAACTTGGAAAAAGTAAGAACTGTGCAGAAAGTTAAGAAATCTATATATGTAATTTTGGGTATATTTATACCTTTCGCTTCTCGACAGCTTATAATTGTAATTAACGTTTTTAAATATGCTTCTAAAAATGTTTAGCTTAATGTTTAGCTCGTTTCTCTTAATGCTGTTGTTATTAATAAAAATTGTCTCGAAAGTGTTGCACAAACATTTTAAATACTTTATGTGTATGTCTCTGTGTTGTTTTTTCGTATCGTTTTATTTTTACTATTTTCACTACTCTTTTGCTGCATGTTGTGTGTTTGGTGTTTGTGTCTCTGTTTCTGTGTGTGTATTATTTTGAATATTGAAATATTGTTTTTAACGCGCTTATTTAGTTGATATTTTATAAAATGCGGTGTTTACACTTGTATTTTTTTTATTTTTGCTTTTGTATTACTTGCTGCTTTATTTTTTAACTACTACGAAGCTACTACAATATGATGTTCTAACTTTTAGTACTTGTTTGTTGTAATAAATCGTATGCGCATTAAACTAAAAAGGAACATATACATGATTATTTATTAATTATACATTTAATATACTCGTATATAGTTGATATATATATATATATCATATATATATACCATATATATATTTGTTTTCTTCATAGTACTTTTTATAGTCAGAGTCATTTGTTTTCTTGGGTAAAACGTTTTGCATAAATTATAATTAGCATTAAGAAACTGAATATTCGTAAGTAGTTCAATATATATCTTTAATCACAAATCATTGATGAAAACTTCATTTTAATTGGTTTTAGGCGACGACGCTCTGCACGCTCTCTTGGTCCGTTAAATTCCGTTACAATTTTATCATCATCAACGTCTCTCTACATAATTTTTGACGCGGCATCATTCATCTGCTCGGTAAGCAAACAATCTACGTATCTCAGGGATACCTCTCTAAATGTATACACAGAAATGTACAGTGGGGCTCAAATAGTGGGGTCATATAGTATATAGGGCTAGGGTTGTACAGGCATTTACAGCAAGTTTTGCAGTATTCGTTTTTTTTTTTTTTTTTGGTTTTTTTTTTCATTCGGAAAGGTACTAAAAATCAGTTGAACTTTATTATATGCTAGTTACTTTATCTCTTCATTTAATAGTATTTCTTCCTTCTTTTCTGTTTGTTTCGTTTTATAAACAATAAGTGTCGCTAAATGCTAGACCTTAAATTCGTTTTTTGTTTTTTTTTTTTCATTTTCATTTTCATTTTTATTTTTCTTATATTTTCTTTATGTTCTGTTCGATTGCATTTGATCTATGAGAAACTAGTGCCATTTTGTATGCGTTTTGCTTTGTTTTGAAATTTTCTTAAAAATTCAGCTCGGTTTACTATCATATGCATTTTTCACTACGTTTTGCACACCGTGCAATATACTAGGTATTCATATATATGTATTTACAGATTGTATTCTATAAGTTGTATCATTATCATTTCGTTGGCATATATTCGACGCTACATTTTGCTTAGATATTCGACTTTGCTAAATTAACTTTTCCATTTGCTCAGTGGGTTTAATTGTTCGACGCGTTGTGCTCTCCATATAAGGGAGGGGCGGGTACTAACACAATTTTACGATTACGTACGATTACGAGTACTTAATATTTGCATTTGATTTTCTATTTTCTAGTTCATGTATGTCCGAGTAGAGTTTTAGAGCTGTGAATGAGCAGAAAAAAATGTGGAAGACCAAGTGTTTAATATTTGAGTCTGTTAAGCATTCAATAAAAGATATGTATGGATCTCTATATAAAATCAGATATTTATGGATGGATTCAGCTCCATAAATAGAAATAAATATATCTGTCTAGTCTTGGATAAAACCCAAAACTACGATTAATTCGTATATCGAGTATATGTCTGACAGCATATTATTCACTGTCTGTATGAAATCTGTTCATATTTTATTTGATAATGATTAAAGAAAGTAAAATTGAATTTCCTAAAAGTATAAACTTGTGTGAAGTTCTTGCGAAAAATGCTCGATGTACGAATTGATAATTTAATTTTATTTTAATAATTTTTTTTTTTTTTAATTAATAATTTTATTTAAATTAAAGAATTATATGACTCACCTCAAATCCATTTAATATGGGGTTTTCATCAATGATACCACAGCCTATTGTTTTGTGTTCTCATAACACTATTCGCCAACGGATTTGCATTTGCCGTTGCGTTAACATTTCCATTTTCGATCGTCAATTTAGTTGCATTTGTTGTCGTCACACTAGTCGAAGCTTCACTGTTGACAGCCGCAGCAGACTTGAGAGCCGCACTTCTGCAACTCAGATGAACGCCCACATCGTCGGCGGGCGAGAGACCCGTCAGCACCGGTCGCTTATAGTCAATGGCGCCTGTATCCGTATTGGCCACGTCGCGTGTTAGCCGCAACGCCTTGAGATGCTGCCGCTGCTGCTGCTGCTGCTGCTGCTGATGATGATGATTGTCGCGCACCGTTGTGGCATGCTGCTTGCCGTTGTTCGTGGCATATTTGTTGTTGTGCAGCGTCAAGCTATATTTTGGTTTGGTGTTGCCACTGCTGGCGCCCGCGATGCTAAGATGCTGCGGCTTCTTCGGCATCGTTGTGGAGGCTGCGCTGCTGCCGCTGCTGCGTTTGCCAAGGGGCAGATCGCCGCCAGCGTCCGCTGCTGCTGCCAACTTGAGCGAGGCTTCGAACTAGAGATTATCGGGATAGCTGCGGAAATTATAAGTTCTGGCACGCTGAAAATCAGCTGCCGCTGCAGCAGCAGCAGCACTATTGCCACTGGTATATGGATTGATCATTGGTGCCGTCGATTGGGTGTTCATGGTGCCCATGCCATCGTCGTAGATGCCATTTAGTTGATCCTGATTGCTGTGGCTGCTCTTGCCGCCGCCGCTGCTCACCGTGTTGGTGTTGCTGCCACCGCCGCTCGTCGAGCTGCCGCCGCCTCCTCCCTTGATGGGCTTAAATATGGCCGTGGTCGCATAGTATTTCTCCATGGGTGGCGGTGGCACTGTGGGCGGTCTGGGGAATATGCTGCTCAACGGTGGCGGCGGCGTGCGTCGCACATTCACATAACCACCGACTGCGTTGGCCATTTTCGTTGCCGGCATGTAGTCCTGCATATGGGGAACCGCATAGCCACCTTCTGGCACATCTGTGTGCCGACCGTGGGGGAAGCAAAAAAGACGCAAAAGGATTTCGCTTAGTCAGCCAAATGGCAAAGGTTGCAAAGGTGTGTGTGTGTGAGTGTGTGTATATGTATATGATGTGTGTCTGTGTGTATGTTTGTGGCAATCGCCGCAAAAATTTATTTGCATTAGTTGCTGGCGGCGCCATATTTTATGGCTCGCAGCGGAAATGGGCGAGCCAAGGGAATTGGAGTTAGGTTAGTGTTTGGGGGGGCTTGAGTATTGGATACTGTGTGTGCTAGGCACTGGGTAATGGCCTCTTTTGGCATACACACCTGTATAGTCTGGCGTCATATTACATTGTAAATCATTAACCGCTGCGTAGCCGTTCACGCCGCTCGTGTACATGTTCACATTGAAGGGCTCGTGGTAAAGGCTGTTCTTGCCAATGGAATCGCTGTCGTCGACACTGGCCTGAAATGGAGTTGGGGGTTTGGGTAAAAATGCACAGTGTTTAATATATAGTAGTGTCAAGTCAGGGCAATCAATATATACATATATCAGAGTTTGTGTTTTCTGCTTGGTTCGTACTCATTTCATTCAGCTGAGCTGTTGTTCGATTTCTAATGTATATTTAATTATATTGAGCAGTGTCCTTAACAGCTTTAAGCAATCTCTTTATTAGTCGAATATAATTACAATTTTCAGCTAACTTTCGCTTATTGTTAATCTGATGAATAAGTTGTAAGTCACTCAATTCTAACTGAATATTAATCGATGCTGCACTTGGTCAGTCTTTGCTTTGTGCCTTTTTTCACAAGTAAATCGTATCTCTCCAATATATCATATGTTCATCTAAGCCTCCCAATAAAACAGAGATTCAGGATTTGCACTACAACACTTCAAGCTTTAATTTCACAAGTGCGTTTTTTAAAATATTACTTGCTTTAACTTGCCTTAAGCAATCATGTCTAATTTAAAAGCTATTTTGATCCCCAACTATTCTCAACTGCTTTCGCACTTCTCTTATGAGCTCATTTTAACTGCTCATACATTTTGCATTGTAATGCCATTTGCCATTTTCTTTGAAATTCAAGGCAATTGCCTTAAAGCAGTTGCTTTTAATGCCCCACGCACACCCTCCACTTTAAAGTGTTGCACAAACGGCACTTAAGCTTAGCACCCACAAATCAAGGGTACGCTAAGAGGGGTAGGGGGTGCTGGGTGACATTAGGCATTTACCGGACGTCCCTGGCTGGCACTGGCCATATATAGGAAGCCGTTGAAAAGTTCTATTAAATAAAATAAATGCCGCATGGCGTCTGGTCAAGTGTGGCATGGCTCAGAGAGCACACGTTGAGAACGTGGCAGCTCCACGCTACATTGAACAATTATGTGAAATTCGAAGCAGGAATTTTTCCTATATATATATATATATATATATCACACATACACATAGTGTATGTGTGTGTGTGTGTGTGTGTGTGAACTCTTGGTATTCTCACCTTAATGCTATTGCCATTGGGACGATGCTTGTCGACATTGCCGCCCAGAGTGTTGGGATTGAAGCTGTATTGGAATGCATCGAGAACGTTGCTGCCGCGTGCTCGCTTCGTGCGTGACACGATGAAAAGGATGATGGCCACCAGTAGAATAATTATCGTTGTTAGAACAACAATGACAACGCCAATGAAATTCGCCTCGCTCGGCTCCTGATCGATGGGCCGTGGAGCAATTACTGCAAAGAGCGACAATAAACAAAAAAGCCCATTTCAATTAACATATAAAATGCAGAGGAAAAAAAACGAAGGAAAATAAACGAAATTCGCAATTGGCCAATCGAATGAAATTAAAAGTAAATATTGTTCAACTAAATAATTAGCATTCCAAAAAAAAAAGGAGGAAAACCTGCTAATTGAATTTAACTACACGTTGACTGTACTTACACTGAGGTCCGTTGTTGAAATTGTTGTTGTTGCCGGTGGCATCAGTGGCGCCACCGTTGCTGGCACCACCACCACCAGCGCCGCCAGCTATGCCGCCATTCATTTTGTTTTTATTATGATTGTGCTGATAGTCGTTGCTCTGCAAAGGATATTCCCGTGTATCCTGCGCGATGCCTGGCGCATTATTTCGCTGCTCCTGTTCGTCTGTGAAATTTCCCATCGCCGGCACTGCAAGAGCGAAAGAGAGACAAGCAATGTTAGAGTGGGACAGCGAATCATTTGTGGACAACATCAACTGAACTTCATCTTCAAAAGTTGCCGCTTTCGAGTTGAACATTGCGCACAGCTGCGCTTCCATGATTAGTTTTTTTTTTTAGTTTTTCTTTCTTTTGTCTTCGCTTTACTTTTCTTTACACCTTTCGTTCCACTTTGAAGTGTTTTACTTTCGCCACGCTTTTCTTTCTTCAGGCCTTTTAGACCTCCAAACGTGTTCGTTTCCTGTCAACCATTAGGGTTTTTACGGCATTACTAAATTTATACAGATGTTTGATTTTTTTCCAACTTTTTGACGCTTGTCTTATGAATATGCATGGGTTTCTTTTTAACTATCTAGCGCTTATGGCGAGACCTTATATGTATATTCTCAGTAATTCTTATAATAGCCTGACCCATATATTATGTGTTACAATGTTTTTGGTAGATTTTAGTTCAAGTTTCACTATGCTTTTAGCTTTCTCCCATTGTGTTCTTATGATAGTTGGTAACAGTAATATTGTAGCAACCCTCTATCTCGAGTTACAAATGCAACTGACCTATTTATGTTGATGGCTTAGCATGTTTTACACTTAGCTTGCCTCTTAACTGTTAGATATTACGATTGTTATCATTTCATTTCCACCCTTAGCTGAGTTCAAAATAATATATCTAACGATTTCCATGCTGACCTTATTCCCAGGCCCATGCTACTTATTGGCTCAGATCTGTCATGGCCTGAAGGCGCGCTTTACCACAACACCTGCTCATCAGACGTTCACTTTGATCTCTAATGCCCCCGGCTTATGTCTCCAACTACAACATGCCCCGAGCATATGGCTCAACGCTGCAAAGTGTTGTCATTTATCTCCGCTAAAACATCTTGAGGACATTGCGAAACAAAAGCAAAAATGTTGCTGCTTCTGGTGGGGGCTGCTTTTTTTTTCTTTTTTTGCAAAGAACACATACCGACCCACCCACAAAACCCCCCCCAAAATGCCCCTCGGCCAGCCGAAAAATGCTTCCTTGAGTGGGTGACCCCGTTTCTCCAGACAGTAAATGGCGTAATTACTGTGTGAAGTTGTTGTTGCTGGCAAGGCTGCTGTTTTGAGTTATGTCGCTTTCTTGGACAGCAGCAGCCAGCATAGAGGACAACACCGAGTGAGGAGTACAGAGGCATGCCTCTGAATTTTGTGCTTGGCTGCCTTTTGTTTCGACACTGCCATTGTCCTTTTTTGTTGTTGTTTTCCTCTTACTCGCTTTCTACTTAAAAAGGGCATATCTTGCATCTCACTGTACTCAGAGCTCTGAGATCGACCTGCCTCTCTGGTCTGTCCCTCTGTGGTCGTCATAAAACGTTTAAAATAATTAAAATATTTCGAGCCACATTTATCACACACTGGGATTGGAATCTAGGGAACGGGGTGTGTGGCATAAAAGTAATGGCAAATATGCCGCATATCCTTTTCTTTTTTATTTTTTATTTTTTGCTCGTCTGCTGCTTGTTTTTGTTGTCGCATGCCCTTTATAACTAATTCTCTTTGTGTGCGTTTTGTGAGTGTTTGTCCCCAGGGTCTTCTCTATGCTCTCATTGTTTTTTCGCCTTTGTATTTTTAGAAACCTTTAAATACAACTCCATAAAGCACTACAGCAAGAAGAACAACAGCAGCAATAGCAGCAACAGCAACAGCAGAAGCAGCACCAATCACCGCAAGCAAATCTCACAAATTGGGGTTAAATCTCTGCAGTGCCTGATAAAAATATACGCACACATACTTGAAAGATGCTGCCTCTAACATTTGTACGTGCGTTTCTTTTGTTTACCCTTACCCTAGTTTTTTTGAGCCCTTCTGCGCCTCATCCCCCACCATTCATTTAGTGCACAAAAAAGTCAGCCTTAACACAAAAAAGAAAATGTGGAAAAAATAAAAATAAAACCAGAAAACAGCTGGTTGCTAGTTGATGTTACTGGTGCTGCCCCTTTTGGCTGCCCCCCCAGCTTCCCTGTGCGTGACAAATCGTCGTGGTGTTTGTTACTCGTCATGTAATTGCTGCCAGGGAAGCGCAGCATGTGGTGCAACCGAGCCAAACCGACCTCAGTTCAGCCTTCGCTCTCTGGTGGTTTCCTGCTTAAATATCCTTGGCTCAGTTGGATGGATGGATGTCATGCCTGGGCTCAACCCAAATGGCAGCAGTTCCCATTATTGAAATATGCTTTGTAATACTGCGTAGCGCACTTCATAGCAAAATGCTGATCCACTGCTCTGATCTTAAGTGCGGCATTCTTTTCTACTTTTCAGTTTAAAGTCTTCATCAAAAGACTTTGAGTATGCTCTTTTTACTTGCAAGGAACTGTGATGATTTTCATAAATTTCAAAATGAGTTGTTCAGCAATTCTGTTGTTTATGACAGCAGTGTTTGCGTATACTTTTGATGTATGACAAGATCTTCTCAATATGCCTCACCAAATCGTATCACAAATTAAGTTTCCCGACCAGATTCTTTGGTAATGAGTCTAGAAGCTGTAAATCATATTGAGTTGCAGAATGTTTTAAAATACATATTTATTTACACTATGTTTACATACAATTTGGATGGGGAAGATCATTGCAGATGCACACACCCGGGAGCTGTTAGTCTACTAAAGATGACTAGCAATTTATATGTAGTATCTGAATCGTTGATTTTCTCAAGAATTATTCACATTTGTTTTCGTTGCTTAATATTTTCAAATCTTTTACAATTTTCCTTCTCTCTTTATCTCATGGGCATCACAAAAGCTTTATATATATTTTTTCTTTGTATTCAACAAGCTTTGTTTAGTTTCCGTCCTTACAGCATTCTTCCTGTCTTTTCATTGAATCGAAAGTCGCGATCTTCAACTCATATTATTGAACTATAAAATCGCAGTTGCTTTGGATTTATAATCGACTTCCTTCATAAATCCATTAAGCCTACAACGGACACCGTCCTCCCCTGCCCACTCGTATTTAATTCCCTATGCCATCTGTGTGGAAATCCCCTATTCATGCGGCACGCTCTATTTGACTCATCAATCAAATGCCGTTGGCAGACTGGCAGTTTTATCCCCTAGTCATTTTCACACCTACCGCGCATGGATTTTCATTCACAACCCGCAACCCCCTCTCAATGAATCAATGAATATAAATGATCTCCGGTTCAGTGACCGATCCTGCTGATGTTAACAGCATTGTAGCCTCATGAGCAATTCGTGCCCACCCCTGAGCATATATTGTCCAAATATCTGTCCCAAACCTTTGCGCTGGGTACATTTTAATCAGGACTGGGACACGCTCAGCATTCGCAGGATATGTAGTTGAAAAATGCAATGCATGCCTGGCATCCAATGCATTGCCCAGCTAGGGTGTTGCAGCTACCCCTAAGCCCGCTCAACTTGTTTACTTTTGCATGCTGAGGGACAGCCAAGCCAGAGACTCTGAAAGAGACCCTTCTTTCTGGGCTTTGGGTATTTTATTAACTTTAGCCCCCTCTCCAAACCCACACGAGTTGCCTACGAGAAATTTACAATGGAAAAAGAATAAAAAAGAATACTAAGTTGTACTAAAGAGATTTTCCCTTTTGGGCCGCTTATCTCGCCTGTCTCGTTTCGTATGTCTCTCCTTCATCGCATCGCATTGTTGTTAGCCAAATGTTGGAAAAACGTTTTATCCCCTAGCTAAGTGTAATGCATTATTGTTGCTGTTACTGTTGCTGTTGCAGTTGTATCTGAAGCTGCTGTCACACACTTGAAAGTGAAATGAAGCTGAAAACTACATTTGTAGTCGCGTGTGCATTTTTTAGTATGCCAAATGCATTTTTCGGGCAATTTGCGCAGCAAATTTTGTTCATTCAATTTTTTTCGTGCCAGTTGAGTCACGTACTTACCGGATATAAAACTGATCTCAGATAGCATAATCCATTTGACGGCAAAGTACAAATTGATTTTCAGATATTTGCCCACACGATGATGCAGCTTAATCGTAACATCTCGAGCATGATCCATTATTGTATCGGGCATATACGAGAACTGCACGGGCTCCCCAGAGAAGTAGCGTCCGCCAATGCTAAAGAACACTTTGGCATGAACGAAAACCTAAGAAATTAAATAAAGAATATCGTAATAAGATAAGGATAAATATATTTTATAAGTTGCAGCGATTGAAGTTCTTTAGAAATAGTTTCAAATGCAATGCTGCCATTTAAATTCACTACTGATTTTCTTCTAATAAAACTTTTCGAAACTCTCTGAGTCCTTTCGTAAATCATCTCACCTGCACATCCTTGGTATACATGTTGTTTGTATGCAAAACGATGGCACTGAAGTTGCGAACCGTATCGAATTCGAAAACAATTTCAACGGGTTTGCTCAACAGACCGGGCGTATCATTTCTCCATCCAATCCATTCGTAGCCTGGCAGAAAAATAAAATGTATATGAAAAGTCCATCCACATGAAATATATACAATAATATGTAGCGTTATTTTTTTTTGGTCTACCCAAAAAAAAAGGCAAAAGGAAAATCAATAGGCCAACCCGGCGGCACATATGCTCCAAAGTGACATGTAAAGCTATTTAAGCCTCCCACCCAAGTCAATGGCACTTTGGGGTGAAGTCTTGTTGCCCAAAACAAACAAATGCTCACGGCACGAGCACGGAGTGCCCAAAGCGGGGGCTGTGTGGGGGTTGGATGGCTGCTCATAACTAGAAATTATGACCAACGCGACATTTAAGCCATTTCTTTCCACTGTTTTTGTGTTTGCATGGCCCTAATTTGCCATGGATGAGGTGGGCAGCTGCCACAGAAGGCACTATGAAGTTGGAAGTATATACTTGGTTAGAAGAGGAGGGGGTTACGTGCCCGGCTTAGGAAGCCAGGAAACATTTAAGTAGCTGTGCACAAGTCATGCAATATTAACTGTAACCAACTATGGTTACATGTTTTGATATGGCTCTAACTAGAAATTATACAATTTTCAGCTGCACAAGCGAAAATCAATAGACTCGAATAGCAAGGGGAAGGGTGAGGGGTGTGGTGAGGGGTGTGGTGAGGGGCTGCGACATACCCCAATATCGATGGCAAAGAAGCCAAATGCCAGGACATAATAATCATAAAGAAGATGGCCATTCTAAAGTCATGCTCAGTTGAGGGGAGGTGATTTGTGAAAAATTATGCGCTAAAACTTTCCGACTGGAATCGCTGCAATGCGATTGCTTTTATGTGTGTCTGTCGCCGACTGCATGTCTAATTGTCTGTACGAACTTTTCTACTTAAATTCGCACAGCGCAAAGTTTTCAATAATTTCGATTATTGGCCATTTGCCAGAGCGCCAGTGAAATGCCAAAATGGGAAAAATAGAATCAAGAAAATATAAAAAAAAATGGACTTGCGAATTTCGCAGTTTGCTAGTTGCGAACTTTTGAAACGGCCGCCGGCTCGGAAATGAATGCCAGTGTTGCCATAAATCATCAAATATGCATAATGTTTACATTTGAACAGCGGAGTGGTTCACAGTGAGCGGAGTGGTACGGATTGGTATGTTTTGGTTCGGTTTGGTGCGTTGTGCACTAGGTTTTTGTATCCGGCCAAGTTTATTGCGACGCCAGCAAATAGTCCGAAGTTATTATTATTTATTTTGTTTATTGTGTTGTGAGGAAAATTATTTGCAAGCCAAAAGTTTTGTTGGTCCGGGCCACGCCCTCGAAACACGCCCCCACCCCCGGTACCCATCCGATTTGTTCAATGAAGTAAGCATTCAGTTTGGTCACCCCATTTTGGACTTTGCCTTATGCTTTTTCTGTCGGTGAACTTTTGTAATTATTTGATGTTAATCAGTTTTTTCTCCATTGCAATAAATCTGTGCGGAGCAGTTTCACCAGCCATGTTTTTGTGTTTAATTTTTGGTCTAAATATATGGCGAAACTTCGCCAGCAGCAAACCTTTAAAAGCTAAAAACTTTTTGCTGCAATAAGTTGTAATTTCTCTCTTCCATTGATATTTGTAGAAAAGGGTTAACTTTCTAATGAGCGAGGTGGCTCTAAGTGAAATATGTGTTTTGCTTATGCTTACTATATGAACAAATATCTTTTTGGTATCTAAACAAAGGCTAAATGATATTTTAGCACTTACCTTTGCCAAATCCGTGAATATCCGTGCGGAAATTGTCCTTGCCCTTCTGGCCGTCGACCAATTGACCCAAACCATCCACATAGCGATCGCCCTGCTCATTGCCATCATATGTCTTGTCCGATAAGTCCACTTCCATGCCGCGCTGCACTCCCTTCGGTATGCTATACGAAACAATGCCCTCTGCAATGAGAATACAAGAACGAAAATTGAAATTTTAAACAAAGCGACACAATTCGAGGAACTAAAACCCTAAACCCACAAAGCCTCCATTTGTATACTGGAGTAATACGAGCCGCCCACACATATATGTATGTATATGTACACATATGTATATATATATATATATATATATATATGCAACTTGCTTTAGTTTGCTTCCATTTCATGTCACGTCACGTCACGTCACGTTTCGTGTCACGTGACACAGACAAACGAGTCGGAGACAAAAAGCGAGTCTGGAATTTGTATTGTGTATTTGTGTGGTAAATTTAAAGTTTTTCCCCTGTGCTAAGCTGGCAACAACATTACCAAATGTTGGGGCAGGGAGTCCATCTATGTATGTGGTGGGAAGGGGCGCTTTCGAGGGGTGCAGGATATTGAGTTACTTGAAACATAATTTCGTTTTGCGGCCACTTTTGTCTTTTGTCTGCCATTTGGTTTCTGTGGTTATTTTTAGCAAAGTGTCTGACACACAAAAAAGGGGAACTCGAGAGTTTAGAGTTTAGTTTAGTTTTAGGATTGGGGTGGGGTGGGGTGGGGACTGGGGCTGTGATGTTTTGGGTTGTATTTTCGACAACTGCTGTAGTTTTTCAATGTCAAAGTCACAGTGGGAGACAAACCGCAACAACAACTCAGACTGAGTCATGCTTTTGTGGTCGAGTTTATAAAGTGTTTTGATGATTGTTCAGGGATTGTTGCCGTGAGGCCTTTTAAGCATTAAAGGACCGGCTCATGTAAATGTTGGTTGCATTTTGGTTAAAAGCAAACAACACCTGACGCTAATTACCACAACTATAGCTACAGCTATAACAGCAGCTACATTTAAGTGAGTCCACCTACAAAACAATTACATTTAGATCGAAAACCAACAACAGCAAACACTGGGTTGCCAGGGCACTCCAAATAATTACACACAAAGCTCAAACAGCCAACGGGTAGCTGGGGGTGGACTAATTTACTAACGTTTCTATTTACAAAAACGGGGGGCACGTGGCAAGCAGGACACAGAAATAGATACACAAAGCAGTCAAAGGCATTTTCCAATAATTACAAAAAATCACATAATTACACATAATTACGGCACAACCCATGAATATCGAAAAACGAACCTAAATCGAACGCAACGCATTGTGCATAGATAATTAGGGGCGCACCTAAACGAATATCACATATGGAGTTTAGTTGCAGAAGTGTGGCGGGGTTAAGGGTGGCTAGAACCAGCTACAAATATTAATTATTATTTAATTTATTTATAATGTAAGGGCAGTCGTGCAAAAAAAAAAAAAAAAAAGAAACCCCAAAAAAAAGCACCATACTTAATTATAGGAATTAGGACAGAGTCCTTTTCTCGACCACTTAAACACGAACTATCAGGCGGAGAGATAAGCCTTCATTATTCGAGTACACGATATACATTCGTACATATGCAATATTTAATTAACTGCAAAGACATTTAAGGCAGCGCGTTTTACAATTGCGTCGCGACTTCTTTCACGCAATGCCCACACGTAATCCCTCCGCCCCCCCTTAATAGTGGAGCCAGAGGGGGGAGGAACTTCCACTTAAGCCTTGTTATTCGCGTGCTCACATGCGATTTTTATTTGCGTGTCGAGCGCGAGAGACAAAATGAATACTGCCAAAAAAAAAAATAACACAACAAAGTCCTCGCAGTGCGTGCAGACCAAACAAAAAAAAAAAAAATAAGAAAAAGAAGCAAGCTCATAAATAAATGTTATATGGCAAATGTATGTAGTCCAAGGCAGAATCAGGCACTGTTCAACTACCATATATATATGTTTGTGAAAGAAAAAAAGAAAAAGAAAATGTAATTTGCTTCCATCTCTCTGCTCCTCGTCACGCAAAGATTCACAAAAACATTCATGGTACGCAGAAGACGACGTCGCGACGTCTGCGAACTTTGCTGATGAGTCAAATTGAGCAGCAGTTGAATTGAATAAATAGATACTTAGCGGCCCGAATCGCAGCCAACTTGTGGCTAAACTACTCATTGAGTTTCTGAGTTATGGTATACAGTTTTGGGGGCACAGTTAAGGGAGAGACAAAACAAAATATATTCATTTTGTGTGTATCACAATCTTGCATATATCCAGACTGAGTTTCATTTGATGTCATATATGTCATATATATATATATTGCATATATGCGAATTTTGTCAGCTAAATAAATTAGAGCACATTAACAATTGCAATGCAGACTCATCACATATGATATAAACATATTTAAAATAACTTAAGCAGGCTAACTTAAATATGGTTAAGTATAGCAACATCGAATCTATAAATTTACATTCGCTATCTGTGTAACACATCAAACACAGTTAAAGTTTATTTTAGATTTATTGTTACGAAGTTTCGAAAGTTTCCCAGAAAGCGAATCACCTTTATTTTATTTAGGCCCCAATTAAATTACCCACATTCATCTATATTACAACTTTAACTACAGCTTTTGCTCACAACACCTACATAGAGCATAGAGCTTAACTTTCAGTTTTCATAGTAGTTAAACAATATAAATCATATCTTGAGCAAAGCTGTTTTTTAATGTACCCTAAACACTCATAAATTATTCAGAGTACTTTGTTAATCTCTAGCTCAACGCTAATCAGTTGTTGTGCATTTATAAAATGCACTTTAGTATATGCATAAAGCCCCCAATCCCAAATCTGTTGTGGATTCAAATTCCAAGGGCTAAGCTGTTTGTTAAATCGAAACTAATTTGTATTTAGCTCGATGTGAAATCAGAGTGTGTCACTTGCCCCGAAGATAATCTGCAGCCATGACGTGACCGCACACCGAACGCATACCCCTCCAAACCTCCCCCTCCTCCTCCTCCACCCATTCAAAACCCACGATTAAGCCCTATTTGTTTATGATTGGGACGGCGCTTCCAGAGAGCAGAAACGCCACAAAACTGGGTGCGGTCTGCTGCTCGTAGGTGTGCCCATTGATTTGCATTTAAGGTTGCTTTGACTTTGGACAGTGGCAGTGAGAATTTATGGCCACAATTTATAAACAATTATGATTCCGGTCTAAATATCGATGAGATTAATGTCTGCCATAAAATCAAGTCGCATTTACTTTGCTGCTTTATTGATTTCTTAACGTCTGGCTATCTGACTATCTGACTATCTGACTGTCTCTCTATTTATCTGTCTGACTGTCTGTCTGTTTGTCTGTCTGGCACTTGTCTAGACCTCAAACCATAAACCGAATACCCCAAATCCCATGCCAACTTATCTAGTTTAATTTGCATATGAAATGCGCAGTGTACATCTAAATGCCCCATAGCAAATCAACTGACATGGCGCCCCCTTTATTTGGGGGGCGTTGGCGGTCAGCTTGCATGTCTCAGCTACCCCGAGGAACTAATAAAGGGCGTGTACATAGTTTTTGACCAACCCCCCAAACTGACATTCAACACAAATGGCGCCAGTTATCAGGGCCCCCAAGCCAACCACACATTGCGTTAATTTACGGAATAATTTCGAATTCCTGCTCCCAAAGGAGCCAGCTCCAACTCAAACTCCAACTGTGACTTCAACTCCAACTCTGACGCTGCTCAAACAAATTGTCATTAGGCTTGGTTCACGTTTGCTGTTATCGCTGCTACCTGGAAATTATAGAAAAATTTGTTTGCCCAGACTAGTTAAAGTTGTTGTACTTAGTTGTCGCTGCTCGTGCACTACTTGACAATTGCGTGCAAGCGGCTGGCCAGACGACAACAACAACAACAAGAACAACAACAATGCGTTGGTTGTTTACTTGTTGTTGCTGGTTGTCGTCTGCATAGTTTTCTCAGCCAGTCTGGATTTCGATTTGGTTTCGCGAACTAACAACTAATGTCTGCACGCGATACATTTTTTTCAAGTACATTTCGCAGGTTGCAGCCGAAGAGAACAGCGCCAACAACAACAACAACAACAACCACAATGCTTACATTGCGTGGTGGCTCATGTGTTCTTGGCCAAAACAACACAACAGGCACATAGGCGCAGTCGTTGCCATGATTGGATTATGCGGTTTAACTAATACTGCTGCCCATAATATCATGTTTTTGCGTCCAAATAACAGCAAAAGGGTTGCAAGCAGACTGGGCGGAAAAGTGATGGCTTTTATATGACGAATAAGTCAGAAGTTATTATGTAATCAGCGTTACATTGTGAATCCCCATGAAAATATTTCTGCAATTGAAGTATCTATGAAAAATATAAATTAAATATATATAAAAAAATAATACAAATATTTTCAGCTGAGAAATTTGAAAGTTAAGCTGCAGACATTCATAATTACTATGCATGGTTAGTTTTCTCGAGTGCAGCAAGACTTAAAAACGTTTCGTATCCAAGCAAAACAAAAATCTGCATCAACATTCTCAGTTGTGCAAGTCGTTACGCGACTTGAGGATATATCTAAGATCAGCCAAGAAAGCAGAATTATCGTCGACATTCTAGTTGCATGCCGCATCTTCATTTTAGCCAAAGCTATGCTAATGCACTTCATGGCTGTCTGTCCACAAGCTAACTACACACTTAAGCCGCTTTGGCCTGTCTAATAAACACACACAGAGCGTAGAGCATACTGAGCGAGTGGCCAGGTTTGGGTTTGGGTTTGCGTTCAGGTTCCGGCTGAGGCATTTGCCACTCCTCTACCGATGATAAATTAACGCTGACACTAAAACTTTGTTAGCCTTTCCACGCTATCATTGCTCATGTCGAGTTTTTATCGCACTCGTTTAAATTGTGGACAGAGAGAGAGAGAGAGAGAGAGAGAGAGAGAAAAAAGAGAGAGACAGAGAAAAACTTACCTTCCCAGGGGCAGCCAACAATCTCGGCGCGCAGGCAGACGGTGCGATCGTATTGACCATATGGATAAATGCGTATCTTTGAGGCAAATATAATCGGTTGCATGGCGTTCTCCACCTCGCTGTATGTGTTGATGTTGCCGGGCAGTATCTGTGTGGAAGTTTGCTTAGTCCCCTGAATTGTGCTAGCTAATTGAAGTGGTCTTACCTCCTTGCCCTGAATGTTCTTCCAGCGCTGCCATTTGTCGAAGCCCGGTCGCCAATATTCAAGCACATAGGCCTCGGTGTACTCCTGACCCTGACCCTTGCCGAAGCGACCCTGGGTGCGTATGGCGGTTATCACATGCGTCTGCAGCAAATCCACCTGCAGGTACTCCTTCAAAGCATTGGACACCATGTGCTTGGGGCACCACGCACCGCCATTATTATCGGTTTTCAGTCTGCAACGAAAGAAGAACGACAACTTTATTAATTAGCCTCCACAAACGGTAGCCTGCGCGAATAACCAGTTGCGCAGATATTTTTTTTTATAAATTAATTGACATTAAGCGTTGCGGCACCACACGGCGTTGGAGCCGCAGTCTCAGTTTGATGCCGAGTTGGAGGCTCAGCCTCCAGGCTCCACTCACTGCCAGCTACAGCTACAGTCTTAGCCACTGACATTTGTGGCCTAAAATAGAGGGTGGGGCTGGGAGTGGTGGTGTGAGGGGTTATTTAGCCGGACTACGTTTGTCTGGCAGCTCGTCTCGTTCGTTAAGCTGTTGCGGTTTTCGACTCAGCAGGATGTTGTCTATGTAATTAAGGATTAATTTAAGTTAGACGCAGACGCCTGAACAGACAGCAAGTTTCCTGTGTATGTGTGTGTGTGTGTGTGTGTGTGTGTGCGTGTCCTGTGCCTTCTCGCCCCCCTGCCACTTTAATCAATTTCTGGCTTTCGCTAATATTGATATGTTAACCACTACAAATACGTTTTTCGGTTTATATTTCAATTAAGTTTTACATGCTTGATTGCATTTTGGGGGCCTTAATGTTTGCCCATTATTCATCGGCTGTGACTAGGCCTAGACCCCGGCCTGGTTGCTGTCCCAGCCAGTTGTTGTTCTTCTTGTTGTTGCTGTTATCGTTTGGCTGCTCCTTTGCAAATTGCTTCATTTGCTGTCTTGGCTGTCTTTGCTGTCTGGCTATGTCTTTGGCAGCAGCTGCTGCCTGAGTCGTTGTCTTAACCTGTGCCAGTGCCAGCCAGCAGGTTATTGAATTTGATTGCAATATTTATTTAGTGGTAGACATGCGTTTTATGCATTTGTGCGATTTGTTATTTATTTCTTATGTGCACTGAGTGCAATTAGTAACGTCTTCCCCATCAATTGAGTGGTTTGGCATCAATTTGGTTTTGCGGCAATTGAGAGGTCCTTTTAAATGTTTGCCATTACTTTATATCTCTGGTTTTGGCATATTTGAAATTATTAAATATTTCAAATTTCACTTCACATCATTTAAAAACATCGCATAGATGTTTTGGTTCTCATGTCTTGAATTCATGCCGCAAGCTGTGTGGTTTGCTACGCTTCCTGTTGCTATTCCAAGTAATAATCATTACCAACTGCAATTACTTTCAAGTGCACAGATCAAAGTAGTAGTGGCTTATTAAAAAAAAAAAAAGAAGAAAAGAGCTTCCACAGCTTGGCAAAAAAGGTCAATTTAATCATCATAAAATTGCTTAGATTTCTTTCTCCACCGCCTTCATTCGCAGTAGCTCAAAAAGCAAATAACCTAAGGGCATCGCAGGCAGAACACGGAGAACACCGAGCTGTGAAGGAGAAAATCGTAGAGTGAAATACGTATAAACATCATTTAAAATGCTAATGTCCGCCGTTATGTGCATTTCAACTTGACTTTAATTATTGTTATTGCCAAAGTTAACAATCTGCGCCGTCGTCGGCTGCTCATTTTAAGCGGCTGATGGACTGACTAACTGCTCGCTGCCGGGCACTGGACTGGACTCCGAATGGAGTCAACTGGACAGGCTTCTAATCAAGCGCCGCCTGCCGAATGGCGAGAGCATTTTTTTCTTTTCTTCCCCTTTCTGCTGTTTTTAATATGTAAGAGGTTGTAAATTTAATGGCCTGACGGCAGTTGGACGCTGGGCGAGGTAATGAAAATCAAACAGCGCCAACTGTCATTAAACTAATCTTTGTAATTCAATAGCTCCAGACGAGCCAACATGGACAGAGTCAACGTCAACATCACCGTTTATGTTCGCATCCTGTTGACCCTCTGGGCCTAGGACTGAGATCTGAGATCTGAGCTGGCATCTCTTTAACTCTGTTCGGTAGGCAAATGCGCGTGGTTTGTTTTAAGTGCATGTTTCTTGTAATGAATTACTTAAAGTTCGGTTCGAGTTTTGGGCTAGTTAGCTGGCTGGTTAGCTGAGTACACGGCAGCCGCAAATTATAATGTTGCCTGCACTTTTGAACTTTGCTGCTTAGCTCGGGAACTTCAGTTAAGCAAATTGCAGTCCGCTTGATTGGACTCAGTGGGTAGATGGGATAAGGAAAAAGACAAAAGAAAGTTGCAGCTAGTTTGAAGAGTTTGTTGCGTTGTGTGTGGCAGTCATTGGGTTAAGCCAACTTAACTAAGTAAGAGGTGAAAGGCTGAAAGCGGATTGCGATTGCAATAGCTTTTAGGGATTTAAGTGCTCAGGCACTCGAGATTATCCAGTTAAGAAGTAGTTCTTTAGTTACTTTAATTTTGTATATATCTTAAAGTACGAATTAATATATGCTTATAGGAATTTGAAAGTTAATTTGAAGAATATTAATGAAAATATTAATGATATAAAGTATATTGTATATTTTTTTATTATTAATATTCTGCTTTACTGAATGTGTTCTGATAATATTAGAAAGCGATTAACTATTTAACTATTTTTCAATTACTTTCAAATCGATAAGCTTTTTAGAATCAACTCAACCAGCTTTATGCAAATCTATTTACTAAAATGAAACAGTTAAATACTTGTTCAAATCGCTCCGTAAAAGCTGACTGTAAAATATTAAATCAAACTATCTATTCACACAGATAGATACCTAAAGCGTGTGCTAAATGCTGTACTCAACTCTAATAAAAGTCTCCTACGCGAGAAGACCGCTAATCCATTTCAGTTGCCATTAAGTCTTGAGTCACTTAGCGGCAACGCCACATCGCCTGTCAATCCGAATCCACTTTGCCCACCACAAGCGACTAACTAAGAAGTACCAGACGTGGCCAGGTGAGTCAGTCATTCAGTCAGTCCGTCAAGAGACCAGCAGCAGTTGAGAGCCCGCATTTGAAATGCAGATACCAAGTCCGAAGCTGAATCTGAATCCACTACGCGGGACATTGTCTTTAGCTTTTTGTGAGTTCAACTTTGGCTCTTTAGCTCTTTAGTTAAAAATTCCAGTTAATCTGCCTTGAACGAAAAAATAAAAACAAAACATCAAGAAAGCACCAACAAAAAATGTACATCTATATATATATTTTTTTCTTTTTCTTTTTTTTTCATGTATTTTTTGTTTATCTCAACGTGCTCATCACGCATCGTTTTGTGGTTTTACTTTAGTGCCGCCATAAAGGGTTAATGTTAATGATGCCTTTGTGGTGAGTCTGTCTGACTGTCTGTCTGTCTGTCTCTTCGTTTGTTTGTGTGTCTCTGCCAGTCAGCCCTGCTCTGGAGTGTTTTTTAAGTGCATGTCTATAAACGCAGACAGCAAATTATTACAGAAAACGAGTGGAATCTGTTGTGATTATATAGTATATATATATATATAGAGCCGATGTTTGCATTGATTTCGCCGTAACTCACGTGGTAATTGACATGTTTATGGGTTGAATGAGTGCTTTACTTTATATTGCCAGAGTGGGTGGGTTGCTGGCTGGTTGACTTGGTTGTGAGTTACATTCCGATATCTACTACTAATTATATGGCAATACACAGCGCCTCATGATGGTGTCATCAATCATTCGACGCAATTGCAAAACTTCCGCCCCATTCTTCTGACCCGCATTGCCTCACACTATCCGGACTCATAAAACTTTAATTCAAACGAAAAATACGTCAATAAAATGTAAACAAAACCTCAACAAAAAAAAAATATTCAACTGAACTTGTCTAGCCAGCTGCTTCCCGGTCCGGGTAAATGCATTCAGTTTGGTTTGCCTCAGTTTAGTTTTTATGCTTCTGGTTTGCCCTTTGGTTGAACCGCCTCGTGAACCGGTTTGCGATTTGAAATTGCATTTAATTAGTATGGAAAAAGGGTTGCCGACTATGCAGATATCGCTGGCAGGCCCATTAAACGATTGCCCCAGCGAGCTCCTTGCATATTCATGAAAAGATTTCAATTTACCTTAACCAACCAAAGTCAGTATCTCTTAAAGGGCGCTAGCTGAACACCAAAATATTTTCAACTGATATGCAAAATCTTTTTATTTGTTTGGTATTTGATTTTCTTTCTTTTTTATGTCTGATGGCACAACTGATTCTGTCATAACATAAATTTGTCGGGTTTTCATTTTTTTTGAAGTTTTTTTAGTCGTTGGGCTAAGATTTCGATTCAATAAACTGTCTTATCGCACTAATGAAGTTGTCTATAAAATTAGCAATTAAACGAACACGCAGCCGCATCAATGATAAGCAAGGGATTCGAGGGGAAGAGCAACAGTTCCAGAGACTGGAGCAGCTTTGGACAAAGCGATGACCCCAGCATCTGAATGGAACAGTAAAAAACTGAAGTTGTTGTAAATAGTTTTATTGTTTTCTATTAGTCGTATTCAATATTTATGTAATTAATGAAATGATTTAATAAGTGCATTTAAAAGTTTGACAATTTAAATGACTAATTCAGATATTAGTTGAGAAACTTACGCATTATGAAATATTTCAGAAAACTGTTAATTATAACTATATTTTGATTTTCAAACGCTGAATGCTGAATGAGTATCTCATGAAGTTTTACACAAGTATTCAAATAAAGTTAGATATGAACTCACCTTGCGTGTTGTGGCCCAACAAATCCCGTGTCATGGGCTGAGCTAGCTGTGATTTGAGCATCTGTAATTGTGCCAGATTCCATGCCCAGGGGCACATTGCACGTAGCTGTAAAATACATTAAAATATCACAATTTGAAAAATTGCCTTAGGCCACAAAAATATTATAACGTTAATTAATGATGGATAGTGCCTTGCATCTTGCACAGAGGCCAACTGAACTAAATTTAGAATTCCCAGCTCTCAGATCTCGACTCTCTGCAACCAACGTCAGAGCAACGCCCATCAAATCTATCAAAATAACTCAAGCGTCAATTTGATTTTTTTGACATTTGATGTGAGAGTTCTGGTTGAGGTTGGGGTTGGGGTTGGGTTGGGTTGGAGTGCTAGGTCTGACACGCCCAGCAAATGGGGCTGACTGTAGTCCGTGGAGGCAGGCCTATCACTTTGGCCATGGAAGTGAGCAGACACGACTACTATCTGCTTTTAAATAAGGTAAACACTTAATCATTGCCAAAGTCAAACCAAGCCGGGCAGAACGTCAACTACTTTAGTTAATTTATTGCCTACCGATTGCAATTCGCAGGCACAAACTCCATATGCTCTGGGTTGGCTTTTGATATGAGCTTTGGGGCCCCCGCCGCCAACAGCTGTCTGTTTGGCTGTTTGGCTGTCTGACTGCCTGCTGACATTTTCACCAGAATCAACACTGATTTGACATGACTTTTGTTGCGCAGGCACAGCATGGACCAGCTTCCCAGCTTGCCAGCTCTCAGTTCGAGTGTTGCAGTGCCTCCTTGCTGGCCCAAGGTGCGTGCATTCGTTTAGAAGTTTATAAATAAACAGACAGGCAACACACACATTGTAAAACCTGGTCGAAGCGCTCTTTGCATTCGCACTTGATTGGATTTGATAGCTGGCAATGCTAATGGGAACTGAAGCTCTTCAGCAAAGCCTGAAACTGTGACTGTAACTGAGGCTGGGCCAGATCCAGAGCCAGGGCCAGGGCGAGGGCGAGGGCGAGGGCCAGGCCGGGTCAGAAGCCATTGCCAACGACTGCATATTGCAAATGCATTGATTTGGAAAATTGTTGCATGTTTTGCTAACTCAACTCACTCGATGTGTCTAGCAAAACAACAATAACAACGGCAACTGATGCTCTTGCTAAGGCACTTCCTCTGCTTATTTGCTTATGTGTGTATGTGTGTGTGTGTGTGTGTGTATGTGTATGCGCTTTTCGAGCAGTGTAGATGAGGAGGAGGCAAATGCAAATATTGAAGGCAGTCAAGTCAGCTGGCAGTTTTGTATCCACTGCCATCCAGAGGCAACATGTTTATAAATTCGTATTTATGTATTTGGCTTGCTTGATTAACTATAAATATTATGGCTCAGATTTGATTTATTGAAAACAAAGGTTGACTGGCAGGCAGGCAGACAGGCGGGCAAAGTGACTTCATATAACAGCAAAAGTTTGCAGGAAAAGTTGTGGTCGAGTCTAAGAAAATGTTTAAATAAGACAAGCTAGAAAACAAGTCAAGCAAACTTATCACAAACTTGGAATGGAAAAACTACGGAATAAATGGAACAGTTTTTGTTTTATTTTGCCTCAGTAGAGAAATCTGATTTATTTGGATGGATGTTTAAATAAAAGTCTAAAGAGTTTTGAAACTATTATTCTGTAAATATTTAACATATTTATTATATAACTTTTCTAGTTAATCATAAATAAATTCACGAAGAATTATATATGATAGTCTGCCTTATTATTTAATATTTACTTTCCGAAATCTAAATCTGATTAAAATGCAAACATATACTGTATGAGAATTATACATGTGTAAATGGGGAAATTATATTTTATAAATTTATAAAGGTTTCCTAATGGATGAATATATTTCTTACTTCAGTTCACATGATAGAATTAAACCATTTCTAAAGCAATTATATATGCAACAACTATAGATTCATGCCACACACTCAAATTTATAGATTCATAGGCAAAGCCAAATTGCCACAAATGTATTATGGGTTTTCTAATATACATAATGTGTAACTGTATAATTATATACTATGTATATGCCATTTGCCTCAGCCCAAAGCTTTCCTTTGAACGTCTTCCCATGCCGCTTGGCTTTTGTGCTGTACATCAGGCAGCCTTCACAATGTCCCCAGCGGTCTGTCCTCATATCAGCATTGAAATTTATGAGCCGCTGACATGCCAGGGCCATTTAAAGTGGCCATAATCCTAAGCCAACTCCGATTCTAGCTACCATAGCTACTTCTACCTCTTTAGTATGGCTTCATTAAAGCCGCGTTGCCATAACTACTACTGTGTGTGTATGGACAATTTCTGCGCCAAACTTTAGAAGCAGCATAAAAATGTCCATATGCCAATTAATGAAGCAGGCTGAAAGGGAAAGATAAAGATAGAGTGATAGAGAGAGAGAGAGACAGAGAGAGAGCCACCCATATCCAAGCTAAGGATTGCGACGTCAGATCTCAAGTGCAACAGTGGACGTCCCGTGGCGACTCTCCAGCAACCACCAACTGTGCCGCCTGTCGCTGCTCCCAGAATGATGAGCCACATAAAAATGTGTTTTCAATTTAAAAAAAAAAAAATACATATACCTCACACTACTTCAACTGGGAATCGAATCAAAGTAAACATATAGTAATATTTTATTTTTTCCTTTTTTTTTGGCATCGACTTTATCTAAGACAAAGGCACATTGATGAATACTGCGCACCTTTGGACTTTCTGACCCACAGTTCATTTATTTGATTTGTCAGTGAGACGAGAAACTAGTCGAGTCAAGCAAAAATGAGTTGTTCATCCACTCACCAATATCGAAAGCAGCAATCGCTGGCGTACTGAGCATTAAACAGCCGCTGGCAGTGATCAATGCCAAGAGGCGAAGGTTCCAGTTCCAGTTGTTCAAGTTTGTTGTCGGTCTGGCCAAGTGCCGAACTCGACGGTGGTTTCTTATCAAAGCTGATGTTGTGGATGATGAGCGGGGGTTGCTAGATCGAGGGGAGCTGGAAAGGCACTGGCGGGAGAACATTTTGTAGCTGGAATTTATTCTTGCTGTTGTTGTTGCTGTTGCAGTTGTTATTCTTTTCTCTTTTTTTGCTGATAAATTGTGCGTCATTTTTGCTTAAAAAACTTGACTCTGATTGAAATTGGCCTGGCAGTGGAATCTGTAAAAGAAGAAATTAAATGAAATTAGAGTATTTTATTAATAATATATGGGCATGCGATTTTTAAAGACTTATTTAGATAAAATTATAAAATATTAAAGCTATATATAATAATAAATTATTAAAATATTGTGTTCAATTTTTTGCTATGCTTTTTGACTTATTCTATCTAAAGATTTGCACCTAAACAATCCCCGTCTCATATTTCTTTAGAGCTCCTTTAATATTATTTTGAGAAAGAATATTCAGGTTATTATATTATCTGTCATTATTTCCTTCTTCAAGACTGCTTTTATTGTCATCTGAAATGTATTTCAAGAGTTGGGCTTATCTTCATATTTTCCACTCATTCATCCACTTCAGCTTCAGCCACTATGTGAAATTTGTCCAGCTAAGAGGTTCTCTATACACTGCTCATTACACTCACACACACACACGGGGAAGTCATTGTTCAGCTTTCTCTTTTAATTAGTTTTGCTTAGGGTAGTCGACGCCTCGGCCCACATCGCAACTCATTAAAATTAAAAGACATCAAAAGAAATTTGCAAACTAAACACAAACAGCGGCAGCAGATGGCGCTCACTGCGCCTAGGATGTCCTTTTTGCAGGTCCTGCTGCTACTGGCACTGCTTGTATTAGACTCAGACCGCGTTCTCGCCCTTCTCCGCCCATATCCTGGTCGACGGCTTTTGTGCTACCTTTTTCCCTTTTTTTTTTTTTATTTTCGCCGCACGCTTTGCATAAACTAAATAAATTTCTTCGGGCATCAGGGCCTTCTCCAAGCATGTCATAAAGTGGGCTGACTTGGATTCTTGTGTAGCCAGTGGGGTGGTCTGCTTGGGGGTTTGCTGGTAGCCAGTGCAGCTTCTGCTTTAAATTGCTGCGCCAGCTGACGTGTTTTGGAGCTGTACGATGATGCGGCGGCTGCTTCTTCTTCAGCTGTAAGCCAGCGTTAAATTAAAGCGGAAACTGGCTTGTGCCGGGCAGTGAAGAAGATGTTAGTCATTGGGGCTAGACAGTCAGCATGTTTGCTCTAGCCGCTTTCTATATGGCTCCAATGTCTGCCCCGGCGGCCGCCCCTGTCCACGGCTCTGGCTGAAGCTAAATTGTTGCAAAATAATGTTAAATGAAAACCACAAAGTCATTCAGGCAACCACATCAACTCAGAGAGAGAGGGAAGTGGGGGCGCTTAGGTGCTAGCACACACACACATTCACCGTCGCATCCGCATTCACAACTTGCCTCCCCTCATCTTGTTCCCCTCTGGTCTTTTCTAGGCTAGTCCGCATCCTCCGCGTCATCGTCACGCACATTCACTTTGCATTCATTCAAGTCGAAGGAAGAGTCAAAGTCGAGTCGAATAACGATGACGAAGACGACGACAGCCTGCAACGCATTTGTTGTTGCTGATGTGTTTGCAGTTTTGGCTTCTTGGCATCAATTGAGTTTCAGATTCATTCACAGTTAAATCCACGTGATGCGATAACCAAACGTGCTTTCTAATTCAGCTCAGATTGAAGAGAGCGCATTCAGACAGCCGAAGCTGAAGTTAAGAGTTAGTTACATCTGAGCCTCTACTGTTGGCATTCTAAAGTGACTTCTATTTTCATCAAGTGACATGACAATGGATATTTGTACAGCTACCGCTGGAGGGCAGTGTGGCCCACCTGAGAGTAGTAGAATCTGGGCAGGGGTTTCTAATAGGTAGAAAGCAAAAGATTGCTGGGTTGCCATAGAGCTAAAGCCCTTCTTGTTGTTTTAGGGAGTAGTTTGTAATTCGAAAAAAGATTCAGTTTATGAAGAGATGTACAGTCGCAGGAGTAATATAGCTGAATGGGATACAGTCGCCTGGGGAGTTTCCCCTGGCATGCTGACAACCGCCATAAGCTAACCTAATAGACATTTTACACCACATAGCTTGAGCATATATCTGGAAAATACCACAAAGCTGAACCTACAAATTACTAGCACGGAATGAGAATTCCTGCACTAGATTCTCACTTACTCTCACTCAATTCATACAAATTTGTGGTTCAAATACATTTAGCAGGGGTGTATTACGCTTTAAGTCTTTAAGAACTTCTTGCTACAGCCGAGTTCTCTCTGTAACCTTATCCAACACATATTTGCAAACCCACCCGCATTCCTCCGCACAATCCTCAAGAGCTAACGAGAGTTTCTGTGCTCAGTTTTCTAGTGGCCGTTGCCCACAGAGTGCTCCACTGATGTTTATCTAACAAATGTACCCATCTTCTGCTGACGCTGTGCTGGGCTGGCAACCTGAGCAAACTTATCGACCGATGCTCCGATGACTCCTCCACACAACACTCGTGCAACATGAATGCAAAAAAGAAAAAAAAAATAGTGAACGTCATGTGGCAATTTGTCACGCAGACGCAGCTGCAGCAGCAGCAACAGCAACATCAGCAGCAGCAACAGCAGCAGCAGCAGCAACAGCAGCAGCAGCAGCAAAAAGAAGTATATTCTCTTCAGCCCTTGTCATCTCTCCCTCTCCCCTCCTTATGTGTGTGCGTATGTTGGTATTTCCCTTGACTCTTGTCAATAACTCAGCGCTTAATTGCTCATCTTTCAACGTCGCAGGGCGCAGGTAGTGCTCTGCCTCGGCCACTGCCACTGCCTTTTGCCCAGCGGCGGCCTTTGACGTGCAGCGTTCAGGCCAACAAATTAGAAAATTCTCAAACTGCAACAGCAGCAGCAGCATAAAAAAATGTTGCTTGAAAAATGCCGCCTGTCATAGTTTTAACTTGCTGTGCTTCATATGCACAGCATCAGCAACTGCAGCAACAGCAGCAACAGCGGCAGCGATCCACAGATCCAGCAACGATCCGGCTATACGATCCCGCGACTTTGTGCCTCACTGTCTGCCTGTCTGCCTGCCACACAATGTAGGTTAAATTAATAGTGACACTCGCTGTGGAACGACGAGCGCGTGGCAATTCATGCCTCTGGTCAGTCGACTTGGTTGCACCTGGCGGCGCTTTCGTGGCAAGTTCGAAACGCTGTTTGTTTTCGTTGCATTTTTGTTTCGTTGTGGCGCGCGAATATTTCATAAATTGAAATGTACAGTTAGTTAATTACACGCTCAATTGGCTCTAAAAGCGGCATTAGCCAACCGGGCAACCGCACAGCCAGTCAGGCCAGAACCAGGCTAGCAATTTCAGCTCGACGACTGCATTTTTAATGGTTGTCATAAAAGATTTATAGCCCAATGCTCAGATGCAACTTCAGCGGATAGAGGCGTTAGCAACTATAAAGCTTCATAGAGCCAAGCAATCATTGGCATTCACAGTTGGTCTGTCGATTAGATTATGATATAATAGCTTGCGAAACCAGCTAATGGTAATTGCCAGTGTGGGAAAAGGTCGCAACGGTAAAGTGCTCCTTAGGTACAGAATAGCGAAACCCGCACTTTGATTAAAAGTATATGTATATATGTATATATATTACACCAAATATATGTACTATAAGGTAATTAGTATTAAAAACTCATTGAAGAGTATGCTAGAAGACTATCGCGAGAGCACTTTCCTAACAGTTTCAATATTAACTAGGTGCTTATCAATATTAGCGATAGTATCGTACAACAAAACAGATTACTCCTTTGCTGAAAATCTGTAAATACTTATTAAAATAATTGCTGTAGTCAGGATTACTTAGTTCCAATGCTCACCCCTTGCAGAGAGTCTTTGCTTTTTATCCTCTGACTGATTAGAATTTGAAACTATATTTGAATTTTAACTATCTATCTTCCTATCTGTCTATAACACATATTTGACAGTTTGCTAGAGATCTTAATTACCTTTCTGGTTGACTATCTGTATAAGCAATCTAGAATTTCATTGCCCCAACTCAGCTCAACCACTTCTGAATTTAGTTAACTGGACTCGGGTCATCAATCAAAAGTGTTTTCATTTGAAATGTCGACACAGACACATACACATAAATGTAAAGTAGAACTAAATAAATCTTTTTGTGTGTGTGTGACTTCTAAAAGCTAAACAAATTGCAGACCCGCGTGCTGAAAATTTAAACATCAAACTGTGTTTTTGGCTGACTTCCTGATTAACTCGAAAATAGAAGAACAACAACTGAAAATGCCCGCAACGAAAATACCAACAACTAAATTGATTAATTGATGAAGCGCAGCGCAGTTTTCGTGGAAAAACAACCACACAAATACACATCTCTAAAGTAGAACACATCAATGGAGCGAGAGATGGCGACTGACATATAGAATGTGATTCACATATATATATATATACATATATAGTACGTAGTGGGCCACATGGCTCGACACAATTTGCATAAATCGAAACACAAAAAGCGAGTTGGCTGCTCTGCAAATCGGCAGCAAAAGATATTTATCTTGTCTGCCAGCGAACGCGTCGAGTGTTTGAATGAGTGTCAAATTAAATTGATCAATTAAGCAATTGACGTGACGGCTTCCCTCCATCCACACCGAACTCAACTGAAAAATGCAACAAATGCACAACGAAAGAGAAAAGTTGTCGAGCTGGAGGGAATTAGGGAATCGAGGGAGTTTGGAGTGGACATGTGGGGTAAATCTCTCTGCGACTTTTACAAACACAACAAGTGACGCAAATTGTGGAGCGTGTTGAAAGGGGATTGCTGATGGTGGGGTGAAGTCGGGTTTTTTTTTTTTGATTAGAACTGTAGACCTGCTAGTGACAATTTCTGTCAATTCAGCGGCGCTAATCAAGCGAGCGACTCATGAGCATTTAAATGGGGAGTAGCTGGAACTGGGACTGGAGCTTGAAAATAGTAGTAGCTGCAACTAGACAAATTGGCTGCGATAGCAACTGATGTGGCAGTGGTTGTTGGTTGGGTGGCAGCTCTGCTTTTGCTTCTGCTGCTGCTGCTGGTTTGCTTAAAGCCAACATGCGGGCTATGTGCCAGCCAGACACAGACAGCAACGTCATATAATCCATCAAGTAAGCAGACAGTTGCAGCTACAACGA